AAATTCATCAGTAACACTTATGAGCCTCCTGAATACTTGTTACTGGTAAAAAAAAAAAATACTCATTAATCCATTTCTTTCAAGTGCTTCTCAAGAATTAGGCGTTAAATTTTCCATCACTCATTTTTAAATTCCTTTTCCGGGCATATCCCAAATGACTTCAAGCTCTGTAAATAGAAAAGGTACGCACCATAACTCAACCTTTGGCACTCCATCTCAAAAAAAAAAAAAAGGATCTTTCCAGAAACAGAAAAATGCAAAGAAAATAAAGAGTATCACCAGTGTTATCAAAGGCGAAAAGCGCAAAAAAGCTCTAAGGTCCATTGGGGCTTTAAGCGCAAAGCGCAAATAAAGCGTGGGCTTTAATGAAAAAAGGCGCAACTGGAGAAAAGGTAAAAATATGTATATGTAGTCCAACACTAATAATTATAAGCATGAATAATCAAATATACGGGCAAAGAAATTGGAAAAAAATTACGAAAAAAATAAAATATCAATTGTTCAATGTCGCTTTTACAGGATTACACTCATTGGAAAGGAAAAGTATGCCTTAGAGCCTTCATGAAATACTAAAGCGCACACAAAGCGAGGCGAAGCACTCAACATGTTTTGAGCCTCGCTTCAGGGCTTAAGCGCGCCTTTGACAACACTGAGTACCACAACCAATAAGAACAAAGCATCACTCACCAATCTCTTTATATCATCAATCAAATAGAACGTCAAGCAAATTTAACTAGAGCGAGACTAGGAAATACAGAAGGAGAAACTAGAGACAGGAGGACGCCCACAAGATAAGCAAAATGAAGTACCTTAGTGGACCTTTAGGATCTCGGGGAGGGACTTCTACCGCATCAAGAGCTTCAAAAAGGCATGGACCATTCCACCAGGAGCATACACTTTTCTCCACCCGATTTTTCATATTTGACCCAAGGAGACCAGAGATTGGGAGGAACTGAACATCTGCCATTGAAGTACAAAAAGTTTCAGAACCAAGTGCAGAAACAAACATCTGCATCTTAGCTAATACACGGAAATTTTAAACAAAGAGAAACCAATTGACATACAATGTAATGATAAGAAATAAGATTCCACAGTCAGTGGGCAAACCCGAATTCAACTTCTTTTTTTCCTCATGAAAAAAGGATCAGCCCCAACTTTATGGAGCCATTGATTAGACGAACAGGTGAAATTGTTATTGCGACACACGTGGCAGAATGAAAAACACTCTCTTCCCAGATGTGTAAGATCACTTTACACGCTTTATTTCAACTACAACGGCCAGATTGACCATGCATTATTTGTAGTTGAAGATGAAAGTAAAATTTTACCATATTATATAGGAAAAGTGGAACGGGAAACAATTAGAATGTTATGACTTGATATAGATCAGCTTTTCCCTCTTAAACTCTAACGAGAGGGTAAGAAATCAGCTTCAGATTTACAGGTTACTTAGACCATTAAAATGTAAGAACTCCGCCAACAAAGAGGTAATCCACGTGTACATAATCCTTCTTTACCTTTCTTCACATTGTATCCAGATGATTTCAAGAATGGTATCATTTTCGACTCGATCTCGTCATACCTTCAAGAGAATTTTACTAGAAATTAATAACTAGAATAATAAACGTTTCAAAATGCATGTTCAGAATACATAGATGGAAAAAGACCTCTCTTTAGCCCAGTTGACAGTAGGATCATCCATCTTATTTACAACAACAAGGAGCTTAGAAACTCCTAGTGTCTTTGCAAGCTGAACATGTTCACGTGTTTGTCCACCTCTTTCATATCCAGTTTCAAATTCACCCTTTCTAGCCGATATAACCTTCACAATGGGCCAAACAAAGGATCAGCAGACCACTTTCATAAACTAGACAGAGAATTCATAGAACTTCAGTGGAGGAGTCCAATGACAGAAGGCTACATCTCTTACCAATACACCTATATCGGCTTGAGATGCCCCACTGATCATGTTTGGGACATAACTCTTGTGACCCTGGTAATTAAAGAAAACATAATCAGAAACCGTAATTAAGATGATGTATAAACAAAATCAAATGCCTCAGGGAATTCAAAAATTGACAAGAAAAATACACGCTATTACAGAAACTTCGAATTAATTTGTATTCGTCATGACTCATTATCTTTGGGTCTTTGCTAGTCAAATGGTTAACATCAGTAGAAGATGCTCTCTTTGTGAAAAACACCCCAAAGATGTTTGTCATCTTTTCTTACATTGCAAGGTCACACACATGTTATGCAGCATGGGTTTTGCTATTCTGGGAGTAGATTGGTGTATGCCAAACTCACACAGTCAGGCAAAAAAATATGGAACAGCATTCCCATTGTCATCTAGTGGATGATTTGGACCGGAAGAAACTACAAAATCTTTGAAGGCTCATCAAGAATTTTACATAGCCTAAATTTAGAAATCTTTCTTTACTAGCTTTTTGGTGCAACCTGGGGTCTTTGTACATGAAGTAGATGCCATGTTAGATATGATGAGGGGTTTGCACAATTTGTAACTATGTTTTGAAGCACTTGCTTAGTGCTGTTCTTTCATCTATAATATCTTTTTATTACTGATAAAAAATGGTTCACACTCATGAACCACAAACCTTTTCTTTTGGATACGTACTCTTGAACCACAGTGTCTCATACGTTATTGAAGTGGATACTAAACATTAAAAACAAGCTACGTAAATTGATCATGCTGTTATCAATCAGTTATAAACTGAAACAATGCCACTCTAAAATTGTTTATCAGGCATTAAACGCTGTTCATAAACATAAGTCCTAGCTCCTTACTGCAATTACTCTTGCTTTCAGCAAGGCCACATAAAAGAAAACGAGCATCATTGAGAATAAAATATTCACAGGAAGAGACTGTTGGGGGGGATCATCCTTATGTTAAAAAACATGGAGCAGACAGCATCCCATCATGCGAAATAAACTCATTCACATAGATTCGTTACTTGTTTTTGGATAAGAAATTACTTCAAAATCTTCTCCAATATACAAGGTAAATCAAAGAAGCAATTTGCAAGGGAAGTTACCAGGCGTACAAGTTTGAAAATCTTCATCCTTTCTCTATAAAATATTCTTTTTTAAAAATTGACTTAATTAATTCGTTTGTTAAAAAGGGTCCTAAGAGAATTCCCTCGGAAAAATTCTTAATGACATATATGATTGGTCTGTTTCGAGGAGAATCAGATTTTCATAAGAAAGGACTTTGTAGAGATCCTTAAGTTAAAAAACAACAGGCTCGTTTAAAATAAACTCAGTTGCTAGATTCATAACTTGTTCTATATACAAGGAAAAGCAGGGAAACAACTTGCAGGGAAACTTACAGGGGCATCCAAAATTGTAAATCTTGTTGTCTCTGTTTCAAAATGCGCCCTGCCAACTTCAACTGTTTTTCCCTGCATAGGAAATTACAAATAAGAAAAAAACAAAAAGCAGTCTAACAGTGGTGGCTCAAGCAAATACGGGGCCTAATGCACAAAATTTAATAAGAGGCCTAAATTTTTTTAAAAAGTTATAAGATATTTTTTATTTGAAGCCTATTCTTCTATCTTTTTGAGATACAAAGTTGTTAATAATCTTTTTTATAATCAATTTTCTCTAATAATTCCTTCTCAATTGATAATATAGCCAACTCATTTAGCTAGCGTTTGGACATAAATTTGGTTGAAACATGAAAAACAAGTTTTTGAAGTTGTGTTGAAAAATAATTTTTGAAAGTTGAAGTTGTGTTTGGACATGCATTTTATTTGAAGAAAAGTTGAAGTTTTGTGAGTGGAAGAAAAAATTTCACCCATTTTTTGGGAACTTGAAATTTTTTGTCAAATTTTGTTTCAAAAATTGATCATATCCCATGAACAAACACTGTTTTTTTTTTTTTTTATTTCTGAAGAAAGTAGCCACAATCTATGGTCGGATGGGAGCTTAATCTTTCTTGAGGTATTGTTGATCTTAAATAAGATTTCATAGAGCAATAGAAGTATAGAACTATTGGAAGCCTAAGAGTATTGTTGAACACTTGAACTAATGAAATCTTGGAGAAAGAAGGTGAGTAAAATATCAAAGAGAAAGACAGAAAATATGTGGGGGTTTCTGGAATATGAAGAGATAGGAAATAAGAAAGATTTACTTGGTCAAATTAAGAAAGAAAGAGTAAATTTTTTACACGTTATATAATAAAGGAGTAAAAAGCAAAGAATTAAAACATTGGGAAAACTATTCATCTACCAATTTTTAAGTAAGTCAAATTATTACTTTATTTATATGTCTAAGAAGTTCTTCTTTCCATTTATATAAAAAAAAATAGCTCTACTTTTGTATTAAAAGTACTAAATATTATTTTTTAAATACCTATGAACCTATTATTTTTAGAGTATGGGGTCTCCCAAATTTAGGGGCCTAAGGCACAAGCCTTACTCCTCATAACCTTGGAGCCGGCCCTGCACAGTAAATTAAATAAATAAAAGGAATACCTTCACTCGCTCCTCTTCATTTGTATCCATGATATAGGCCATATACCTAACCGTCAAAAACAAAAAGATAAGAGAAGCTCTCTTTTTCTTTTTCCCTTTTTGTTTGGATAATTTGAAAGGCAGGAGAAGACTTGAAGCTGTAAAACAGCCAATTTAAAAGATAAAATAAAGTCCACAAAACCAACAATTCTTCAAGTATCCACAGAAAAAACAATTCTTCAAACGATAAGTTGAGCAAGCATAAACCTCTTGCAACATCAAACCCTTTATATAGACAGGCATGACAAGAAAAAATCATATTCTAGAACATTTTTTACCAGGAATAATTAAGTGTCAGTATAAATTACACAAACACCAGTCTAACACATGTTCCAGCGTTAAAAAAAGGTATCAAAAGCGCAAGTTGAGCACTTCAACAAGGATAAGCTCACCAACTCCCTCTACTCGTATCTTTTGCTTCCTTCTCATACTTCTGGATTGTCCGATCGTCAACTTGACCACTAAGGAATAGTATTTGTCCTCCACACGTGGACTTTCCAGCATCTACAGTTGAAAAGAAATATGATATGCCTTAGAATAATAAGAAAATCATCAAAGAGGATCATGTGAGACATACGAGTTATGGTAAGTTTTCACCAACTTTTACATTAGAACCTATGGAAGTGATGTTGCATATCACAGAGCCGAATGTTCTCAGCTGACTCAGACTAAGTGAATAACTTGGACAAACTAAAACTTGATCTGATCAAAACTTCAAGAGACATCACAGTTCCTCGTTTCTATTTCACACATTGGACATCTCGAGTTACTGCTAGTTATGATAAATGCTAGGATGAGAGAGAGACAAAAACAGTGCAGAAAGAAACCAACTTGTCAAACCCTACTCCGCAAGAACTATATAAAAAGCACTCAACACAAAAGCTCAACACATCTTGAGGTGTGCGTCAAACATTTCTGTCCCAGTTGTTTCCTTCAGCTTCTAAACAGACAATACATAATTACTCATAGGAAATAGGTACACCGGAACATCAGAATGGAAAAATCAGTCACAATATGTGCCTACTTTGTTCTTTTATTAATGCTACTGGGCTTAAGTTCCAGTGTACAAGTGGTATAGCAAAGTCTAGAATCATCTTTAACGTTTTCTCTCTTTCTTGATCTTTTAAAGGGTTGTTTTTTATGCTTCTAGATATAATTGTATTAAAGAAAGGGGGAAGGGGGGGGGGGGGGTAAGAGGGGGGGGGGTAACAACTAGATCAGGAAAATGAAAACTTACCAACATGACCAAATACAACATTCAGATGTCTCTTTCTCTCGACTTCAATCTCATCATCAACTTGTGTTGGCTTTAAGTTTGCATTTGCTTCCTCTTTCAGGCCTGAGATCATTAATGAAATAAACATTTGCTACATAACTATTAACTTTTGCTTAAACATTAATCCAATACTGTTTCAGAACCAGCAAAGCATCTTACTCCTTAACAGGCTAAACACACCAATATTTCTGGTTATAAATTGCAAAAACTGAAAACCAAAAATGTAAGTTTTATAACATCTTGAGAGTCAAGAGCAAACATTCAAAATAATTGTCACGGAAGGGTGACCTAGGAAAATGTCAATAATTCTTAGAATCCTTTTATATTGGTTTTACTTCTCCAAAATATGAGACAAGTTCCCAATTAAAAAACAGCTCCTTCAACATTCTATATTTCACTAGAGTTCTAAAAAGCAAAGAGTTCTCCAAATAAATTCTTCACAACTAAGCTGAATCAGAAAGGACGTGTGCTATCAGCAAAAGATATATTGCGCATGAGAATAGTAAATGACAATAAATATATTAAGCCAACACATGAAAATAGTATAGCTTCTTCCGAAGAGAAATAGAGTGAACGAAGCAAAACCACCTTCTTTTCGAAAAATAAACAATCACCAAAGTTCAAAGACAAACAAAAGATGCTGTTTTTGAGATGCCTCTCTCAACGCTATATTGACATCTTTCCCTAACATAAAGCAACCATTTTAGCACAGATGACTTGACTTCATGTTAACTCTAGGATGAACCGTGACTTATCCCATTCCATTACCTTAAAATGCCCTCCTTATCAACCCCTGAGAGAAAGAGGGATAGCAGGATCTCTCACTTTTTTTGAGAAGGTAAAGTAATTTTATAGATAAACTAGCACAACGGATGTTCTATACAACTGTACAATATCTTCAGAAGCAAAAAAGCAAAATTGCGCCCCTTCTAATCCTGTAGGGTTCTAACATCTTCAGGATCCCTCACTTTTCTCAAAGGCAATGTTCGAAGTGATATTTACAACAACAACAACAACTACTCAGTAAAATCCCACAAAGTGGGGTCTGGGGAGGGTAATGTGTACGCAGACCTTACCCCTACCCCGATAGGGCAGAGAGGTTGTTTCCGATAAATTCGAAGTGATATTTATGCACAAGAAATAGGCACTCCAAAATGGATGTGAAAACTCACAGCTCAAAACAAAGCAACCCGAGGCTAGATAATTTGATGCCAAGAGGCTAAATAATTTGACGCCATGATTCATTTCTTTTCTGTGAGGTAACTGTTGCCTAGTAAGTGCCAGCCTCTATTCAAGCACAAAAAGCTGATTCAAATTTAGAAGTAAAGGCCGATGCTCTCCTCTGTTCAACTTTCTAAATCATAGCAAGAAAGTTAGATGAAATGATCAAACAGTGCAGCCATCCTCCAAAGTAATAGCGGAAGTATTCACAAGCATCATATCCACTGCTGAAAGTAACAGAAGTAAAGAAGGTTTAAGGAGAGAGAGAGAGAGAGAGAGAGAGAGAGAGAGAGAGAGAGAGAGAGAGAGAGAGAGAGAGAGAGAGAGAGAGAGAGAATAAACCAAATCAACATTGAGTTCTGGAGGCCTAAGGGGATTTGACAAAAAAAAATCCTCTTGGGATGGCATCTACAACTGTCTCAGCAGTATCTGCCTATCTGAACCACTAAACAACGGCTTTACTTAGAACAAAATTCTTCACCTCACAACATCAAACCAATTTAAGTGAGCCTCCAATAGGAAGCTCAATGCCACTTATTGCAAAACTAAACCTCCAAGTGAAATCCAACGTTTATCATCTTTTTTCAAAATCAGACTCTTCACAGTAAAGTTGAGAATTCAAACTCATCCAAATTTGGCACAAAAACAGACATGATAATGCTTTACAGAAAAATAACTGCCCAAAGAACTATCATATCTACTAAGGTCATCGTTAACTATCGTAACTTTTTTTGCAGCAAGAGCTTCTGGCTAGTGTACGGGATTCAAAAATAAGAGGCACCAGCACTTCTTAGCATCCTTGAATAGACTGCGCACTAAGGTATGGACGAAAATAAGTGAGAAGGAATTCAAAAGACAATAAGTACCAGATGCACAGTGTAAATTTCACAGGCTTATGATACCAGCAAAAGTAGCTTTAAAGAGAGAACTTATAGGAATGTTGTGGAGTAGACATGCCAGCTTCCACAATGAGCTTGGAGTTGCAGCCTAATAGTTTAAACTCCACCATGCAGCAATCTTAGATGCATGTTCAAATCTCATCAAAGTTCTTCCCTCTTCTTCCTTCCCCTTTCCCCTATTCATGAGCTCATGCCCTTCCCCCCAAAAAAATTAAATGAAAATAAACAAAAAAAGAGATTTCAAATGAAATCAAGCCTACAAATGAACAAAAAGTTTCAATGGTACAGAATCAGCAGCTAAGCAGATGAGCCGAGATTTAGAAATTAAAAGAAAGAGAAAACTCGGAAAAAAAATAGATGATACATAACCTGTTCATCAATCTACCTACCATCTTCCATATTATCAGGTTTTTCAACATCATCTGGCTTGCATTCTTCTGACATCACACTATCGTCTGCTACCATTTCAGAACATTCAAGACAAAAAAATCCAAAATGGTTGCTAATTTTTTATCCAGAGAGGAAAAAAGCAAAGGAATAAAGCACATCTACAGCTACAGGTTAAAGAATATACAAGATACTGAAAAATAATTACAGTAGTAATTGTGACAATCCTGAAAGTCTCATGGATTTTGTCGATGTAGTTTTGATTTAGTAAAATACTAAAGCAAGAACTTTACAGAAACCTACATGAAAGACTTAATGGACTATTATTCAATTCTAACAAGTAAACCTACACGGGAAACAATTGACAAAGGTATTTAGTAGGCACCAAAAACCATAGTCCAAGGATATGATTAAACAAACGCCAAAAAGTTTCAAAATGTAATTTTATATAAACCTAAGACTTCAAACATCTAAGAAGCAAGAAAATGTCTAAAAATGCAGAAGCATAGACTTATTAGTTATTATCGTGCAATGATTGCTATACTAGAATTTGGACTTCCTGACAACTAGATGCCCTTAAATCTATTAAACACATGATTAAAAAACACAAAAAATACTTAGGGTCAAAAACAAAATATCAAAAATAAAAGATATTGCTACAAACAGTCACTTGAAACAGAACAAGCATTCACTGAGCACATCATTGAAGTTGTTGCCTACCTCCATCAATTTTTCCAGGTTTTAGGGCTTCATCAGGTTTCCCGTCTTCAGCATTAGTCATCACACTATCTTCTGCTGACATTCAAGCACAGACACACACAGAGGCGGATTTAGGGGGGCGCAAGGGTGCACTGTATATATAAGGCAAAATGTATTTTTTACCTCTATATATTAAGTTTTGAACACCCTTAACACAATCCAAAAGTGTAGTTTAGTGGTCAAGGGGGTTCAAAATTTACATAAGGTCATGGGTTCAATTCCCACTAGCTACAAAAAAAAAAAAATTTTTGAACCCCCTTCGTGAAGATCCTGGCTCCGCCACTGGACAACTGTTACGCGGCGCCTTCCTGAGATTCCTTGGAAGGGCGACGTAAGGCTAGGCAACTGATGTCAGTGCAGTTGCTGTCCGCCAACTGAGGTCCCCTCCGTACGCTAGACGAGATTGTCGGTGCCGTACGGGAAAACCAATGTCAAGAGCAATTGAGAGAACAAAAGTGAGAATTCAGAATGAAAGAAAGCTTGATTGCATTAATGAAAGCTATTACAGAAAAGCAACGCGGTGTCGAGGGGATCAAGCAATCACACACAAACACATTCAAGACCATTTCTCCTTACAGTACATACTTAATTTTAAGTAATTCATTCGCTATATTAACTTCAATATACGCACTATATAATAAAGTATATACATATATCTCATTGCAAGGTGTTAAACTTATACCAGATGATTCAAGCTGCAATGCCTTGATGTCTTCTTCAATATCTATCACGTAAACAACCAAAAATTCCACCATCCGTTAATCCGCCAGAATCCTTAGCAACAATCTCATAAGTAATCATCCATAGGAGATCCAAATGCTCTTAATATAATCTTTACTAATATTAATATACAAAATTACAAATATGTAGCTATAATTTTGCCTATGTGGATATAGCGCATTATCCAACTCGTAGAAGTAAAGGCAACTGAATATCTTTACTTATCGAATTGGAACATCCAATTTTCTCACAAAATAAGCAACTTCGAATCGCAATTGAACATAAAATCCAATGAAAAAAAAAGTATTGATAAACGACTAAAGATCTGAGCGATAGTGAAAAAGAATAAGCATTGACAGAGAACGTACCCATGGCGGTAAATGGAACAAATAAGGATTCGGTTAATCAGAGAGGAGTGCAGTGCAGAGACCTGGAAATTGCTATTAGCAGGAAGAGGTTTATAGCTTTGCTTTTGGAACTCTAAACTATAGTGATGCGCTCTCTTCCTGCTTTTACCACCTGTTGAAAGTTGAAACCAACAATTGGGTTTTAGGTCCAATTTTAAACCGGCCTATCATATCAAAACATTTTGTATACTAGATGAACGTTGGTTTGCGACTAAAAGTTAAATATATTTTACACACTACAAAAATTTACACAATTAATTAAAATTTAATTAATGCAATTTCTTTGAAATAAATATAAATTATTAACTTGCTAGATATGGTAAGTTACTTACTTGTTATGCACCCTTTGTTCAAATTTATGTGGCATAACTAGCAACGCTATTATTTTGAGAGTCAACTAGATTCTTCTTTGATCATGGTTATCTTACATGGAGTATTTTTTGAAATATTTTGTATTATTAACTATTGATAAACTATGTTGAATTCATACCAAGAAGTAAGTACTTTGATGATCTTACTCCGAACCTTACCACATCAAGCGGAATGGAAGGAAATTGATACGTTATTCTAAACATAATTAATTAGTTGACAATTCTAATTTGTCAATATAAAATGATATTTTGTATTGTCAACATAATATTTAAGTTAAATTCAAAATAAATTAGTTGATTACAAATTTAAAATCTAAATAAAAGACAAAATAGATTAAAAGTTGAACCCTAAATACCGAAAGTCGAATGAAAAATCTGAAAAAATATTAATCAACTACCGATTCAATTCAGAGGATCTTAGCATATTAGAAACACGTATTGTATCACGTAATGACAAAAAAATATTATTTAAAATTTTATTTGTGAATTAATTATCGATTGCTTAACTCTCCATTTGATTTTGATACGTAGAATTATATTTCTCATATAATAATGCGTATGCACGTGGAGTTCATACAAGTTTGAGAATTTTATTTATCTGTCGCTTTCTTTTTGAGAAAAATAAAAAATAATATTAATACTAAAGTTGTTCTAAAAATAACCTCGCAGCTTCCACATTGATGAAGTTGTATTTTGGGGAAATTACTATTTCAATAATGATGTTTGGTTGTGTTGCATTTTTTCGTGTGAATGGAAAATTGAACAGACACCTTTTGGGTTGCACCTCCCCATCTCATCCTTTCTTTGTCTATAAATTTAGAGGTTTGGCCTCATTTTTAAGACATGAAAAATCTGAAAACTTCTCCCCTCTTTTCTATATTGTTGCATTATTTTCCAAATAAATATAACTGTCAAGTGTGATTTGCTCCGTTTGTTGAGTTCACTGAAGTTCTGTGACTTGAAGTGCCGCTATCACAGAATAGTTATTCCGTTCTATCTTGGGGGAATTAATCTGTATACCTTGGGAATAGTGAGGGAATTAAATTCCTTAAGGACACACTGTGCATTTAGTAGGCTCGGAATCATTTTACGATTTGTTTATTGAACTAACGTTTGTTTCCTTCTCTGATTTTCTGATTTTGAACACAGATTTTCCAACAATCTTAAGGAATTTAAATTTATTTTCTGTGTTCGTATTATCATCTGTTGAAGATCAAATTAAAAATAGGAAGTAACAGACTATTGACTTTACAGTCTTATTTTTCCTCGTCTGCGTATATCCGTTGTTATTATATACTTATTTGGCAAACTTTCTTGGTGAAACAATGCAATTGTGTGGAACTGTACGGTGTGATGCCACATGATGTCCTGGAATGTTAATAAGTGCTATTTGGTATTTATTAGTGTTGATATTCCAAAAGTTTCCAACTGAAAAGAAACGATTTTGACGGTATAACTAATAAATCATTCAAGGAAAACAGAACAGTTGGTGGAATACATGTTTTTGTTTGAATTGCTGCAAACTAGAATCCTATTTGTTAGGATTGGACAACAGTTCCCCTTCTTTTTGGGTATAATCTTATTAAGAAAAACAAGATTGATTAATGGTGACTATTCACGAAAGATGCCATTAATATGTTATCTTGGTTTTCTATAAACCAAGGGAATCTTTATTGTTTTCTTATGTTGTGTGATCACAAAAGAAACCAATCACGGGCAGATTGATTGATAACAAATTGTAGAAGTTTGACCTGAAAGTGGGACATATTTACTTGACAATAATGTATCTAACAGATTTTTTGTGACAGAAACGATAATGATTGGCAAAATACATATGCAACCCCTTCACGGGCAATTGACAAGACAAACAATTGTTAAAGTTGCAAATATAAGTGCACCAGCCATTGTTGTTTTCTCTGGCTTGCCATCTCTCTGGTGTCACGGAGAAAATTTGGAGTGGAACGTATCGGTGTATTCATCGATTTTTGGGGCTTTCACTTGGCTAATTAATTTGGTGAGAATTTCTGCTATTTACGAATTGTTTGCTCCAAATAAGATTTTGAAAAAGTAAGTTGTGGGACCTCCACTGCATATCGGTACGGTTGGAAACTTGTAATAGTTTCCTGAATATTAAAATTGAAAGTCAGCAACAGTTTTACTAAGCATGGTATATTGCGGATAATTAATATCTCATAGTCTCTGAATTAAGGTTTCAATGGGACTAAATTTAATTGATCGTAGAAGCAGAAAGTAAATCGTGTTATACTTTCTTTACTCTAATTTTATTTTTCTACCCTTATGATTCAATTTTGCGAATGTTAGGGTAGATGTTTTATGTTATAATCTCAAAGTATTATTTTATTTGCATGATTTGGTAGCATGCATAAAGATATGTGAAAATTTATTTTCAAGGTTTGTAAGAGCGAATTAGGCTTACACTAATACTTGAAAGTATTTTTGAGATTATGAATATAATATGTAAAGATGTACATATATTTTTTAGATTAGAGTAAGAGATCAAACTGTTTAAGGTGGTATTATGGTTTAGTTGGAAAACCATTTGGAAAGGGAATTAAAATTCTCATGATTTTCTACACCCGTTATGGAGAATAAAATCTTCGTGATTTTCTAGTCCTGCTACGAGATCAAAATCTGCGTGACTTTTTTCTCGTTCGTTGAGATTAAAGACTTCGTGACTTTCTACTCATTTGTCGAAAATTAAAGTCTAAGTGACTTTATACTCGTTTTGGAGATTAAAATCTTAGTGATTTTCTACTTCAATTCATTATTCGGTTTGAAGAGTAAAAACTTCACCGTTTATTAAATTTGATTGTGTCACATATTATTCGGTTTGAAGATTAAAAACTTCACCGTTTATTAATTCTGAATGTGTCAGGTTGGCTTGAAGATTAAAAACTTCACCATTAATAAATTCTGGCTCTGATGTGACACAAACAACAGTTCTTGTGGTTGGCTCTACAGCGTAATAGGGGCGTCGAATGTGAATCTCCTTTTGAAGAAATGTGTTTGGAATATGGTATCATTCATCAAACGACAGCCCCTTAGTCACGGCAATCTAACGGAATTGCGGAAAGAAAGAATAGAACCTTAAAGGAGATGATGAGTACATTGTTGATAAGTTCTGTTTACCTCAAAACTTGTGGGGGAAGCTATTTTTACAGCTAACCGAATACTCAATCGAGTTCCCCACAGCAAAACGCAATCCATTCCATATGAAAAATGGAAAGGAAGAAAGCCCAACTTAAAATATTTTAAAGTGTGGGAGGTGCTTGGCTAAAGTGCAAGTTCCTAAACCCAAAAGGTTAAAAATCAGACCGGAAAATATTGATTGCGTTTTCATAGGATATGCAACAAATAGTAAGGCATATCATTTCCTGCTTCATAAATCAGAAAATTCCGAATTCATATTAATACGATAATCGAATCAGATAATGCTGAATATTTTGAGAATATTTATCCGTATAAAAAGGATTGTGAGCCTTCTGCTGAAATATCTAGGCGACCCCGGGAAGAAGAAAAGGAAAGTACACCTAATGAGGTGAATCCAAGATGCAGTAAACGTCAAAAGACAACTACTTCCTTTGGACCAGATTTTCTGACATTCTTGTTGGAAAGTGAGCCTCAAACATATAAAGAAGCAATGTCTTGCTCGAAAGCACAATGTTAGAAAGAGTCAATAATGATATAGAATCCATATTAAATAACCATAATTGGGAATTGATTGATCTTCCTCCAAGAAATAAACCTTTGGGTTCTAAGTGGATTTTTAGAAGGGAAATGAAAGCTGATGGTACTATAGACAAATGTAAGGCAAGATTGATTGCCAAATGATTAAGACAACGAGAAGGTCTTGATTACTTCGACAAATACTCACTGGTAACGAGAATTACATATATTCGAATGGCAATAACGTTAGCCACCATGTATGGCCTTGAAATCCATCAGATGGACGTAAAGACAACCTTCTTAAATGGAGATTTGGAGGAAGAAATTTATATGGAACAACCTGAAGGATTCGTGGTTCCTGAAAAAGAAAGAAGGTGTGTCAACTTGTTAAGTCACTTTACATACCAAAACAAACACCCATACAATGGCATGCGGAATTTGACTATAGAATGTTGTCAAATGGTTTCAAATTAGTGTATTTACATTAAGAATACTCTAAATTATGTAGTCATTGTTTGTTTATATGTGGATTATACATTGATAGAAAAGACACATGAAACATGTGAAATGTAGAGGCATTTAGTTTATGCATAACAAATGCTAATGTTAAGACGTGATGTATATATTATCTAGAAGAATTAGATGATATAATTCTTCGAACCCCACGAATTATTAGGAATATTTATATGGTAGTCGGTAATTCATTACTTGTTCAGTCTTAGTGATGACTAGTGATGAAACTACAAATTTGAAAGTTGTTTACGTGCCTTTCCAAAAATAATTTGTTCTTTCTTGAACATTTACTATGTTTAGCTCTTTTATGAAAGGGTGTCACCTGGAAGGCCGTGACTATTCATGAAAAGTGCGTTTGTATGTCTAGTATAAACATGATTGTTCATAAACAAACTTATTAATACGTTGGTCTATAATGAAGTGAACTAACCGATGAACATGATCAAAATCCATTGGAAGTTGGGTTTGTTTCATAAGCGAAGGTGTTATAATTTGCATATCATATAGACATATGAATAAATAGCATACAAATGCTTGAAAATGGTGGAGTGATTGCGAAATGTGTTATATATTAAAAGGTTGTGGACACA